TTAAACTGCTTTTGTATTTTTTCTTTCTGTAGCAAACATTTGTCAAACAGTCCAAACTTTTAGCTCATGGTAGTGTGATGCGGTCCCCCACCAGACCGTCACTGCCAGTGATGAACAGTACAAAGAACCGGGAACCCGTTCACCATCAAGGGGATTGGACGCATCCCTATTTTACCCTGTCCACACAAGATGACGCGTTTAATCACGTGTTGCTTGGCGAGAATCGATCGATTCGCAGTATGACCATCAATGATGTGAGTATCCCAGTCAAAGTAAATTCGTTAGTCATTTTTATTTCGGATTTTTAATAATAACGATAATATGAAATCGAATATTTGTATGTGTATCCAACATTTTATAATATAATCCAATCAGCAGAAAACCAAGAACCTCAGGGGGATTGAAGCAAATCTCCTATTCTTCCTCCAAATGGGCAACCAAAAGACAGCAACCGAAACCGGCGTACGAAAGTGCATGGTTGATGGTTGTACAAACTGAACTGAACTGAACTGTGGACGTCATCCATGTTTGTGTACTATGTATTCTGCACCAATGGGGCTACAACGCCACACCAGTGACAGTGAACCTTTCGCGATCGGTCATTCTCTCAACTTAAAAATAACATAGGGACACACCTGACTATCAGTAAGCTGATTGTCATCTGATGTAAATGGATCATGCAACTTTGAAAACCTTGCACTTCATAATGTCTGTTCACAAACATAAACAGCAAGTATTCACCGAATTAGTGAATGTGCGTGCAAACGAATGAGAAATTTGCAGAATCCTTCTACTAGTCTATATCTAATGTTGGATTAGATGTTGGTTATGCTGGATTATTCATTGCATCAAATCCCAAGGAGCGTCAGAATAGATTGAAGTGAAAACGAAACGTCATGGGCACTTTGCAATAACATGATGTCGTGTCGGTTATTGCTGACATCCTTTCTCGAGAAAATTTTTCCCTGGATCGTAATAAAATTTTTCTGCAAACAAAATGGAAAGATTCTAACGTAGAATTATGTCGTATATTCCGGACTACTGATAATATTACGATTGTTGTAACCACACATTGTGCCAATCGAATAAAAGGCAGCCTAGTCACCAAAAATCGCAGCATCAGACCTCAGTATAGGTTCACATGGCAACATACCCAGTGTCAATGATCTTGAAAACCCACATTGTTTCGTTGGTCGACAGATTTAAAGAAGTTTCCCGTCGGGGAAAGTTCAATACTTTTGATGGGATTTCAACTCACCCAAGACATAGATGGTTAACATGCAAGGGTCATAATCCTATCGAGGTCCCTGGTTTTTTTCACAACTGGAATGTGTGAGCTGTAGGACTGACAAAAAGGAAACCAATTCAAACAAACGTTGATGCTGTGAGTAACAAAAGCCTTTCTTGAGCAGTATATTCAACATCCGTTTATGTTCAGTTGTGAATTGGACCATACGAATACCTTGCGCATCTACTTAAGCGCAATTGAAAAAAACATGACTGGAAACAGCTGCAAATCATGAAATTGACAACAATGAATGTCTGAATGCTAATAATGTGATTGATTTCTTTCTAACGAGCAAGTGTATCCATTTGCATGCAGACCTTGATTGGTGGCGGAGCTGCTCGGGCTCGCTTCGAACGATTGGAACGACTCGGTGAATTGGATTGTGAGAATAGCGAGCTACAGGCGGCCCTGGCCTCGTCCGAACCATCAGCGTCACTGCATCCGGAGGCAGGTGAGTCTTGCTTAACTATGGATCGTTTTAACAGTTTGCAAGCAATCACAGTATGATCGAGGCTGGGTGTCTCGGGTTGCAGTTGGTCACCTCTCCCTTGCACCACGTGAAACGCTCCCATACGACCAGATTGCTTCTCCTGAGGAATCCCTGCTCACTCCATTTCGCCTGTTCGCCGAGCTTGGCAATTTGTTTGCAAACGTTTCATCACCAGCCGAGGTGACATCATCAGTGCTTGTGAAACAAATTGAGAAGCTCGGCGAACAGGCGAAATGGAGTTCAGTTCACCCGAGCTACGAGAACCGATTTTCAATATTTTGTCAGCCCTGCTCACTGTCTTCTTGTGGCGGAGGTGTCTCCTACCAAAGTGAGAGAACGAAAAGCCAACATTCGGGGCTATAGCTGGGTCAATGAATCCCTGGCACTTCACCTTGGGAAGTTGGCTAAACCCCTGATTCCAAACCATTCAAGAAGAGGCGTGCGAACCATGCATACACCTTCCTGGCCGTGGTGGTGGTCAGTTGCTCGATTGAACATCGAGGTATACTGAGCAACAAGGACCTTGGACTCCGACCACTGACCACATGATCCAATAAACTGCAACTCAGCGGTTTTAGACATCGCTCCGCTGCCTTGCGGGTCCGGTTTCGGTTAGCTGAAGGCTCCGGTTGTGAACTCCCTAAGGAAGTTCACTTGTTTTGGTTCGGGCAAACTAGCAGTAGCATTCTCTCGAGCAAATCATATATCTTTTACTTTTTATAAAGATTATGGTCACGTAATTTGTCTGACACACGGTCTGAACTCAGACGTGAGGAAACGTAAAAACAGGCAATACAGGCGTTACTGTACGTGATAGTATGAAAATGAACAACCGTTTACTTTTTATTCTTCAATTGCAAATTTCTTTCAAGAGGAAGACTGCGGTTGAGAAAAAACTGCTAGAAAACACAAAGAGAGACTTCAAGTATTGATAATGGTGTAATTCGAACGCACACAGTGTCGATGTGACATAGTATTGAAACCGTTCTCGCCAGAGCCCATTCCTGTCGAAATCAAAAGAAGCATTCAAACAGGGTAGACTCGATTGCGAAAGCATGGTTGGGAATGAAACGTAAGTAAGCACGAACGACCCTGATTAATTAGATATCACCAAAACGAGCAGCACACGAGTAAAGGTTCTTTTATTTGGAAATAAATCAGCAAAGCGTTGATCTGCACTATACGCGAGCGAATCACACGGGAAAGATCCAACTACTTTGGTGTATACAGCGCTTCCAAACTGACCGGATACATTACAGGAAATTCCCCTAACAGACGGCTTTAGTCGAATGTTAAATTGTCAGTTCTTCCCAGATCTAATTGAATGAAACAAAAGGCTTCGCCGAATGGGTTGCACTGTAATATTCTTGTTCCAATATGAATTCTCTCCTTTGTATGTGCCTGACAAATCGACATGCATGCGTTTAATGATATTTCATCCCGTATCTTTACTTTATTCATCCACACGAGCTTAACGTAGTTGTAATGTAAACTTCACATGATACTATCCCCAAAACTCACGAATAACTGTTGCAAGAGTTTAATAAACATCAAGGAAAGCGATACCACTTGTCACTGTCTAGGAATACATGCCTCCTCACATATATATATATATATATATCATATTGAATAACTTCAGTATGATTTACACAAGTCTTTCGATAACAATTTTTGGGTTTATTTACGTTTCCGAATGAAGATTGAGGCTGGATGAAGGGCAGGAACAACGCCTTCTAATTCGGCCGGCCAAATCGCAGGTTGATAACACGAAGTTCAGTAGAAAGTAACGCGGTATTGCTCCCCATGCTTACGTATCAACATTTTTTCATATCAAATACATTTATCCTAGTCAAACTGGTAGCTTCAGCTTCATTTAGTACCTCTCTTAGCTGTTTTGTCAGACAGGTTGTCAAAGGACATCACAATCGACACCATAGCAAGGAAAGTGCAGCATTACTGATAGAATGAATTGAGTGCCAACAGCTGTAGGATTGTTCCTTCAACGAGCGCTTTCTGCCAAGCAAACAGAAAGCTAATCACCAGAGAGCCGTACGGGAGTCGCCTATACCATACACTGGGAAATGTCGAAATCACTTAGATGAGCGGTCTCCATACATGTCTCTTGTCAATCATAAAGTCAAGCACGTGCGCTAGAAGCGCTTACAAAACACAACTTATGCAAAAGTATGGGTGTGTACAATCGATAACGACGGCCAGTAAAAGATTTTCATGGTGCCATGTTACCCAGGTACTCTTGATGAGGAAAATAATTGCTGCGTCACGTTTTCCAGCTGCAGGATATGGCGTTCCGCCATCACACAGATCGGTTTCAGTTTCAGTATTTACAACCATTACCTATGCATTGTACCGCGCCGGTTTTGGTTGCTGTCTTTTGGATGGAAGAGCAGGAAGAATGCAGAGAGCAGAGTCAAAGTGAACATAGAGAATTTATATAGACTGTGATTGCAAGAATATTGAGTAGATGCATGAGCGCCACTGATTGCGACACAGGCATATCACTCAGTGTCTCTAACCACCGGTGACCATAATCTCGAGGGCTCTGTCAAGAGAGCCTGTTGCGACTTCTGTGACCCAGTCTCTTGTTTTGAGTCTTCATACCCTCATGACTACATGTTTCGGCAAATATCTCGCGCGGTGGCAACCTATTTGGTGTCATACGCAACACATGCCCAACCAGCGAAGGTCGACCACTTGCTCCAATGGACGACCGCGATTACCGAAAACTCTACGCTTAACCTCAGCATTGATCTTCCGGTCTCCCCAAACAGGCTCGTTTAATGAGACGCAGATAATGGTGTTCGAACACCGAAAATCTATTTTTATCCTGTTCCCGTAATGGCCAAGTTTCGACACCGTAGTGCAGGACTAGCCTAACCGCTGCAGCATAAACTTGACTCTTCATGGAAAGTCGGATATCGTGATGGCGGCACAGATATTCCAAGTTAGCAAATGCCAACCGAACCTTCTGCATGCCTACCAACACTTCATTCGCGATATATCCTCCAGGTGAAAAGTAGCTGCCGAAGTAGCAAAATTTTTTCTCTACCTCTATTATTCATTCAGTGAGAATGAGGTTGGGAGTTGGACCAACCCAGTTCTGTAGCAAAGTTCCCAATTTAGAATATGCGAAACGCATACTGAACACTAGCACTCACAATATCCAGAAACGCCTGCAACTTAGCTGGATCTTCCCTTAACAGTGGAATGTCGACTGCAAACCCTAAATTAGAGTCTGACACTTGAGAGTAAACCGATGCCACTATCCTCGCACGTGAACAGAACTGCTTTCAGAATCAAATATATGGGGAAGTTAAACGGAAACAGAGAGAGGACAACCCTGATGAACAAAGTTTTATCTGTCTAAACAGTCCCACAAGGCACAGTTCAAATAGAACAAGGAGTGGCGAACAAGCTCGTTTTCAGTGATTCGTAGTCATGTCAAATACATCACAATAAATATTGCGCTGTTTATATACAAATCAGTATTCAACCATAAAAACGCAAACACATGTTTCGGGAAAAGGAAAATAACCTCCTGGGTTATCTGGGGCTAAGTTCATCTTGGAACCGGATGTGGGATTCACAATGATCACATAATTGTTAGGTCATCCGATCGTTGGGACCACTCGGAATATGGGGTGTGTAGGGGATGAGCCAGGGGAGCTTAAGCGCCTGCAAAAATTGTTTTTGGGCACACAGAAGGGGGTTGTGCAGCCGAATTCCTACCGCTTCCATGACAGCGAACCTGCCTTGATCACGAACCCGATACAGGGGACGGAATGCGTCGGTCACATTCACAGTGTGATTTGTTTCAACTAGGTGTGAAACCACTGCACTAGTGAGTTACTTAATTGTTCCTGTGTTTAGCCATGCAGGGTGATGTTCACGGATTCGTTCGGACAAACGCCTGACCTGTGGCCTATGTACGTGGTTCCACAGGAACACGTAAATGAGTACACACAAAATGAGACGACAGAATCCGGCATTTAGTCGCAAACACAATTGGCTGGGAAGTAAACAAACATTGAGCTTTGCTGCATAGAAAGTATTACTAACAGTATCTGATAGTCTCCTTCGAATTACTTCTTCTGATGTATTCCCGTTGAACGGCAAGACAATGTATACCGACTTCTTTCTGTCCTCGGTCTTCTTCACAATATCTCCACCGCACTGAATCATCTTGCTAACCACTCGTTCTGGATAGCCATTGTGTGTGAAGATAGTACGTAAGAACCGGAGCTCTTCTTCTATTGTGTCCTCACTACAAATTTTCCTTGCTCTATCTGCTAGNCAGCGCACCAAATTCCTCTTCACTTTGACCGGTACAAAGCTGCGAAAATGAATATATTGGCCCTTCCAAGTAGCCTACCTATGCACTGATCGTTGCACCGAGCCATCCGATTTACGACTCAAACAGACATCTAGAAATGCTAGTTTGTTGTCGTTTTCCATTTCTAAAGTAAATATCATGTTCTGGTGAGCAGCATTGAGTTTGCTCAAGAGCTCATTTGTTCCTGATGT